ACTGGAATAGACGTGCTTTTGAGAAGCATCCACACAGGGGCCTAAAGGAGACAGTAATTCCCTCAAATCCCCTCATTAAAAAGGGGTGCAGAAGAGGATCAACTCTCCTCCATCAGGAGACCCCCCCCCCCTCCATCCCAATTTCTACAGTGTAGCCTGCGGGCCCCTGTCCCTCCAACAACAGCCCCCAGCCTCTCACTCCCAATCCTACCCAACTCCACACAGTAACCTGAGGGTTCCCAGTGGCTAATCAGACCAGATGGCTGCCTCCCTCCCAACCCTTCCATGGCTCCCCAGTGCCTCCCGTATCTAGGCCAAATTCCTTCCCTGGGGCAACATTTCCTGACACACAGGAGCCACCCAAACATGCTGACTGTCACCCAGGCCCCTGTCACACACAGAATCAGCATTCTCCCACCCATTCCCCCGTCCCTCCCCTTCCCCTCCCCGCCAGTGTCCTTTCATTTCCAGAATTCTGCATAAGTGACCTACTTGTTCTGGAAAGTTCCCCTGCCCCTGGCAGACTTGTTAGTTCAGATGCCTGGAGCCAAATCCCTAACCATTCTGTACAAAACCCCATTGCCCTCAAATCAGTTCTGACTCTCCATCGACCCTCTCTGGCAGTGAAAAATGTCTGTACACTGGCCCTTCAACCAGAATAAGGTGTCTCACCCTCACTGCTTCTGAGTTGATGCCCACGCAGAGCGACCCTATAGGACAGGGCAGAAGTGCCCCTGTGGGTTTCTGAGACTGTAACTCTTTACGGAGCTGAAAGCGCCATTTCTCTTTACTGACCTTGTAGTTGGCAGCCCATTGTGTCACCACTATGCTACCAGGGCTCCTGGGACAAAGTGTAGATACCTGCTTCTGCAGTCCCCTGAAACCCCCAAGGCCCCCAGGGGTGCTTTGCCCACTGCACTGGAGCTTCTCCGGAGGGGGAGAGGGACAGGTATCCATAGCAGAGGTCAATACTAGGAACCTGGTTCGGCTTGGCTTCGAAGCAGGGCCAGGCTGCCAGAATGCCTCAGGACAGATGAGGGTGGGGCCTCAGGACCATAGAGGACCATCAGGGAAGGGCCTCTTTCGGCTTTGCTCAGGGCCTGTCAGATTACAGAGAAAGCCCGTCTAAGACTCCGATCTGGACTTGAGAGCCGGTTTCTTCT